ATCGGTTGAGATTGCGCGATTCGCGATTTTCACACAGAGCTTTACATTATGGGCGGGCTATTATAGTGGCAAATTAAACGCGAGATTCTCTCTTAACGGTGTTTAATTTTAGTTTAACAGAGAGGCATTTAATCGTTCTTTGAACGTTTCGCACCAATTAGTTCAAATTTTTCTCTATAAATGTGAAATTCGATAATATTTCTGGGATTTTCTTTTTTTTTTTTACAGATAGTTATATATTCTGACCAAGTGGAAAGGATTTATTATTACGCGCCCTATTTCTCATACCGTTGTTGTTAAATCTCTTCACCACTCCCCGTAATGCTTTTCGTATTCATAGTCTGAGCGAAAATTGCTTCTAGAGCACAATAAAGGTTATACGGGCCATAAAATAAGTTCAGCCTACCTTGCCGATGTTTATTTAAACGGAGGAGAGGCTTTGAATTTTCCTCCCTATCTCTATCCTTTCCCCTTCACCTCCTCGCTATTATCCCATCCCATTCTTTCGCTTTTCTCCGATTTTCGCTTCACGTAGCACAGCTTCGAACCACGTCGCGGCACGCCACGGAGCGAACTTATCGATCGAGCGCGTGTAACTCGGGAAAATAGTTTGCGCCAATCGCATCGAGGACTCTTCTTGTAATTCCGGCAAATCCTGCCCTCTGTGGTGAACATTCGGAAATCGAGGTTCAAATTTATGAACACCGATATCACCACTATCGAGAAATACCTTTCTCCTTTCTACATTTCTCTACATTTTCTTCTACATTTAAACGAAACATGCGAATGTCGCAAATTGATAAAATGGAGAAAATTATTGGTTAAATAAACACCTAATTTGATAAATTTTAATAAAAAATAAAACGTCGTTTTATTTTTTATCACATATTTTTATATATTATGTTACGACGAGTACGATTCGTGTCAGCGTTACGAAATGAATCTTTCATGCTTGGAAGATCTATTTTATCATCTAGTTTTCACACGTCACAAATTATTAATAGAAAATGTAATAAGCAACAAAGAAAGTGCGATAGAAGTCCAATGCCCGTTGCTGTTGTGAGTATTTATACGCATAACATACGTTGTGTCCTATTTTATAAATTATGATTATTATCTCAAATATCTCGTACTCGTATAATTAAGATAGAACGATATTTGATTTTTCGATTAATTTTGCAGAGTACAAGCCAAATAAAAATTATAACGCTGAATTTATCTTTTTTTTTTTTTTTAAAAAATAAACGATTTCGTCCATTTCTTTTTTGAAATGTTTTCTCGTCGTAGATTTTGTGCGGCTGCGGTTATCTAGATGGTACTGAAATTTCGGAAGCCATGTCGGCAATGATACATATCTGCCTGAAAGATATGAAGCCACATTTTTACGCGCCAGACGTAAACATATGTGAAACTGTCGATCATTTTATCAAAAAGCCGGATCCAGATAGTCCATCCAGAAACGCTCTAGTCGAAGCTGCCAGACTCGCTAGATCGAATATAAAACCGTTATGCCAATGCCAAGCTTGTAAACACGAGGCACTCGTTATCCCAGGAGGATTTGGTGCTGCAAAGACATTGTTAGTAATTTGTTGAGTCGACAATCGATTTAAAAGAATGATAAGAATAATTTCGTGAAAAATTCTATGTTAAATGCGTCGATCAAACGAATGCAAAAAAAAAAAAAAAAATATGCAATTTAAGAATAGAGTTTAAATAGCTTACTCGTTCGTTCGGTTTACAAAACCGAAATCCGTCGATATTGTATTCGTTTTATTCGTCGTATTTCTTATAAAGGAGCAATTTCGCAGAGAAAGGTGCAGATTGCACTATACATCCCCATTTGGAACAAATTATCGAAGATTTTTACTACGAGGGCAAACCAATTGCATCGATCTGCATTTCTAGTGTTCTTGTAGCGAGAGTGCTCAAGGGTGTTAAAATTACACTTGGAAAAGAATGTAAGAAATTTCTTTTATCGTAACTTATCCAATTATGTATGTAATTACTTTTTACAAGTTACAAATTTAAATTTAAATTTTAAATAAACGTCTTAATATTTATTCTAAGATATAAGAATTAAATATATTATTATTCGCGTAATAATCGTATTATTTAGCACCAGCGGAAGAGTGGCCGTTTGCCGATGCTATTAAAAAAGCTAAAGACATGGGAGCCAAGATCGAGCAGAAAAGCGTAAAGGGAATGACCAAGTGTAAAAAATACAACGTTTTCAGTACACCAGCTTGGATGTATAAACGTGCGACCTATGCAGAAATTTATACTGGAATCGGAAAACTAATCGGCACGATGAAGAAACATATGAATTAATAATTAATAATATCGTTTCTTCCGCGTGTTTATTCGCGTTTATTTTTTTAAAACGCTAAAGTCCTATATATATATATATATATATATATTTATATTATATTTATATTTCGATTAATGTTAAACTTTATTTTATAGCTTT